GTTCCAGTTGATACGTCAATATAGCCTGTAGACTATTTGGAAGAGGAGGTGTCAAATTACTATAGATGGAAGTACGATGCAAATACAGGAAGCAAGGGAGATATTATTGACATTACTTGAAACAGACTTACGCGCGCAATGGAAGAGGGTAAGGGCCCAAACTCTGCAAAATCCGGGGCAGGAGGAGGAAATAAGGAAGAAATTCAATACCAAGGTCCTGGGGCAAAGAGCGGTTGCAACCATGCAGGGAACTAACCTTGTATTAAATGGAGAAGGGGGGTTGAAAGGCAGTCAATAGAAGGGGGTTAAGGTTCAAAAAAAAAAAAAAAAAAAAAAAGGATACAGCAGGACGATTGAAGGAGTGGCCAATTCATGCGAGAAGGTTTGGGCCGAGACAAAAACGATGATACAAGCTGAAATCCTCTGCAAATGGCGGAGGATCAAACAATCATGGACAGAGGATGAGGACCAACAAAAGAAGGCGGGACTGAGCTTCAAGGGATACCAAGGTCTGCAGCAACGGAGAGACAGTTCAGAGAGATACGAAAGTGGTTCATGACATACTGAAGGAAAAAGCTGGACACAGGCACTGTGAGTTGACAGGCTAAGTTGCTTCAGGAGACTTTAAGAAATGCTAGGAAAGGATTAGGAGCTTATGTTTCTAGAAAATAAAAATTATATTTGAGGGTTTAGAGTTTAGGGTGTGGACAGAATTAGGACTAACAGGGCTCGGAATAGCAGAGTTTTTAATGTGGTTCACAAGTGGGATTTACAGTTTAGACAAAATTGGCAGCTTTGGCAGCTTCTAGGACCTTTCTCGTTAGTCATGCTTTATATGACAGGTTTTCGCAGTAGACCTGAGAAGAAAGGATGAAGCAGGGCAAGCTGACAGTCAATCCTCCACAATGTTGGAGCAATCAATGCTGGTCAGGGGTCCTTCGGCCAGACCGAAGGAAGCGTGGGTGAGTACTTATGATGTATCCTATTATTCTGACTTGCCGCTGGAATAGGAACCGGACTGATGCTCCCCGGAATGGAAATGGAGCCAGGTCCATAAGGGCCTGTTTTAATTTAAAAAAAAAAAAAAAAAAACAGTACTTACGCGGACTACTTGCTCTGGGCAGCTATCACCCTTCATCATGGAGCTCAGCAGCTGGCTGATGGGCGCCCTTGTCTCCTTCGGTGTTGTCACAATTGGCTGCACATTCAAAAGTTCAACGATTGCATTCATTATCATGGTGCCTAATCATTGTAATTCAACCCATCACAGCTGACAGCAAAAGCCCTTCCCTGCACAGCACAGATTTCTCTCTCCGAAACCACTTGAATGGGAAATCCTATTTTGGGTGCAAGGTGATGATGCCAAGGTCCAGCAGCTGCAAGAACTGTGGTGCCATCAAGACACAACAAGCTGCACAATCAGGCACCACAGGAGAACACATCTGAACTATAACAAGCTGCACAATCAGGCAAAAATCTAGTTTTTAATTCATCAAAAAGCAAGAAGCCACTGAACATTCATGTATTCCGAGCCTTACCCTGTTTGGTGAGTCTAATATGATTACCAGACACAAGCGCACTTGCTATATCAGGAATCATGGAACTTGCATCAGATACCCAAAAAAATGACAATGCATCAAGAGTCCAGACTGATGGAGCGACAAACACGTACCAAAATTGACCATACATAGACCATCAACAAAACAGATGAGAGAGGGGCGAGTGCAGAGTGGAAAGCATCCAACCTCAGAACGGGCCTTGTGTAACTGGTCTCTAAGAGTTTGGGTAATGTTTATCAATCGTGCCGCAGCTGAAACCTCCTCACCTGCACCGGGAAGCCGACAACGAGGGTAATCACTTCAGAACTTCAAAGACACCAAGAAATCTCGGAAGGCACAGCAAATGCCACAAATTGAAACAAGCTATGCCAATCAAGCAACTTGTGCGCTACGAGAAAGAAGGTGCAAAACATCACTCCCCACCCCTAAGAGGACATGTGATTGGCTTGAATGAAAAGCTCTGATCCACGTAATATCCAAATTGCTCCTATTTTTTATGATGATGAGGAAAACACATTCAAAATGCATCGGCTGAACAAAGCAATGTGGATGTCTGGACTTGCCTGCCTACTAGACAATTGGAAGTCGAGGGAATGACCGAAGCACCAAGTGGTTCATGCAAAGCCAATTATGCAATGATTCAATGAAGCAATACCGGCACGTTACAACGTCCTGTGAATGAAAGCATTACCATTGTCATTCTATCTTTCCTACATGCAGATAAATGCATCCCTGGATTTATGTAATACCCCAGTCAGGGGGCTGCTTAGTTGACCATGACCACAGTGACAACCTGTCAGACGATGGAAGCCCCAAGTGGTTTGTGCAAAGCCAATTATACGCTGATTCAAGGAAGCAATACCGGCACCTTGCAACGCTCTGTGAAGATTGCCTTCGTCAATCCACCTCTCCTACGGGCAATGCACTTGTGAATTTATGTAATATCCCACCCAACGGGCTGGTTAGGTGATGAATGCACTGAAAAACTGCCAGTGATCGACTGCACCATTTTGCTCATGCCAATGGCCAAGACAGTTAAGAAATGCTGCATCATAACATCCATCATTTCCAACCTATTGCATTTACATTATCTATGGACCATGCCGAAGGCAATCAGCTGATATATGGACATTTTTCTCTTTGGTGTTACTGAATGCAATGCAAGATACTGCAATCATGGGCATATTTCCAATTCATGGCAGAAAGATATAGCATTGGAATCAAATTCCACAAACACATGGCCATTGAAGTACTGAATGACTTTCCAAAAGGCTATTGGATAGATTTCCCTTATAGTTGTGTGTGACTTGACCTACCATTCATGCCACAACCATGGATCTTCTCCCATCCACCGGTGTCAATTGAAGCAGCATTCATTGACATGGAACGACTGAGAGTTCCTGCGCCCGCTGTGAGGCCATGCCCACTGACTGTCACAACTGCGGCAGAAATAACCGAGTTATCAGTACCACCTCCTGGTGTGGTAACCATTGGTTGCTGCTGAAGATGGTGATGATGATGGTGGTGGTGGTGGAGACCACTCTCTCGCCATTCCTCCTCATACTGGAGGTCAGTGCCTAGGTCATTCGCCAATTCAGCGTAACCTGGGATGTCAGGAAATATGAGGGACCTGCGCATGCATGGAGCTCCACCCTTGGATCCATAGAACGCATTGCCTTGCCTCACTGATGATCGGGACCGCGATAATGGAGACATAAGCGGAGTGCTCAGTGGCGAACCTCTATTCATGCCGGAGCTGCCGGAGCGAGAGTTACCTGGAGGAACATACTTCCATCCTGGATTGCCATTTGTGGGCATTGGACGTGGTCCATTCTGCTGTCGATAATCACAAAGGGCTTTCAGACCCAAGACGCATTCCACAATGCGGGTCGTCGTGCCACTGACGAGAGGGCTTTCCTGCACATACGACCCCTCCCCAGGTCAGACAGAAGCAACTGCATACAGACAGCGTATTCTCCACACACAGCAAGTAGTGAGGTCATAAAAGGGCGGGCTCCACGGTACAGCCATGACAGAAGTTCATCATGCAAGATAAAAAGACATCAACTTGGAGGTGCAAGGAAACATTCAATGAGAAAAACAAATTTCTGAAATGCAAGAGCCCATAGAAGAACCACTATGAGCGAATTGAGGTGAAAGCAGAATACAAAAGCTGATAGCACACCAATCAGGAACACTGAAGTCTCTTGACAAAGAAAGTCCAACTTCTCGCGTCCAATGAATACAACAACAATGTACTAGCCCAACTGTGATCTGTGCATCTTACTCTGCTCACAACTTCTCCTACACATACTAGTCTACTAATCTCACTTTCTCTAGGCTGCCCCTTGTAAACACCAGGTGAGACCCGCCAGTTCGTACCCTCTTCGTCCTTACCCTAACCACTGCAAATCTCGCCATCCTGCTGCCATGCTTAGAACCGTCGAGCTAAGGCAGGCACCTGGCCAGCAGCCTCCTGCAACGGCACACTCTGGCCGCAATGTGCTGCCCAGCACTGCCACAAGATCCCAAATACCCAAATCTCCACTCCCCAGTAGCCTCCCTCCTTTTGTCTGCTCTGGAGGCCACAGTCTTGTCCCAGTGGGCAGTGCCTACTGCCCACCGGTCTGAGTACCGGTCCTGGCCTCCATAACTACATGACGGCTCGGCCTACTGGTTAGTTAGAGGGGCTGGCGCCTGGCTCAGGACCAAAAATCCCCACTGCTGACCATCACTTAGGGCCAGCATCGCCTCTGGTGGCCTGGCCTTATTTCCACGAGTGACCAATTTGAAGCACGCTGAGGCCTGGAGCCTCACATTCCATCTTTGTTAGATTTGAAAGCCCTCTGGGAACCCTTTTCACACTTGCAGTTGCTTCCCTATAAACCACCACTCCCCCCCCACTAAATTGTCAACATCAGCCCTCGCCAACATCGACAATGCGCTCAATTGTCAACATCAGCCCTTGTCTCACCACCATCAACAATGCGCTCAATTGTCAACATCAGCCCTTGTCTCGCCATCATCAATTATGCGCTCAATGTCTCGTCTCCTACTTGGCGCTCAGCGCCCAGATTACGATCACACAGCTCATATACTAGCCAACACTGATGACAACGCAACAGGAAGACTTCAGTGGCAGAACCCAAAGTTCGTGCAGATGTCGCCCATGCAGACCTCCAGGACAAACCAGGTACGTCCCCACTCTCTTGCCCTCTCTCTGCTCACCCTCGTTTACTCCCAACACCTTGTCCTTCACCCAAGAACCATTGTCATACCCCGCTGACATTCGTGAACCCGAGCCCAGCTATGGCTGGCTGTGCTCTGCACTGCGCCCAGCAGCATCCCTCACCACCTGCGCCCGCATGCGCTTACCCAGGCTCTCCCTCCAGTGGCTCACCAGATCCCAGAATGGCAGCGCTGCCACACGAAGTGCCCAAATGAGCAAGAGGCCAGCGGGCACTTTCCTACATGGAAAGTGCTTGCCTGTCCACACAAGCCTGCCCCTGGCAACCATGTGCCATGTAGCTTCAGGTTGGGCCAAAGTATCTATGCCCTGCCCCATTCAGATAGCAGCCTGGGACTGTGGCAGTTAGGCACGCCCAACTGTACTACGGGGTGTGCGCCACTTGCTGCATCCTGATACGCCGGAAGGCCTTTTTCCACGTCATCCCCGGAAGAGCCTAGAATGCTCACGATCCTGCAGTTGCATTGAGTGAAGGGCCCTTGGCGCTCAGTAACTGAGCGGCGCCCAAGAGGCCTGAAAATGCTCAAAGAGGCCCCATGGAGAAATGCAGGCTCACCTTCACTCAGGGCGAGCGCCTTGCTTGCAGTGGGGACCCTGTATAGGCCTGCCCAGGATAAAATCCTCGCACTCCCTCCTTCACTACTCTGATAGTCCTCTGAGAAGCCCTTAGCCAGTCCGCTGCTTCCCTTTCAGCCTGCTTTCATATCCTGCGACCACATCTGGAGCAGTCTTCATCAACTCTTCTCTTGAAAACCACTGGTCTTCCTTAGGATCAACATGATGCCTAAACCACACCCTATACTCTGCATCTGCGGTTTGGGCAGTCTTCCTCTTCCTGGAGGCTTCGGAACCAGCATCATCTTGTGCTCAGTGATGTTGTCGATGTCAACATGTCCATGCATGGTTGGGTGCAGCATGGCCCATGTGCGGAGTGTCCGGGGATTCAAGTGACATAAGAGGGTCCATCCAGATCATCTCCTAATATATCCAGAACTTCCCATGGTCCGAAGTACTGTGGCATAAGCTTGCCCCATCTCAGATGACTTAACCCAAACTCTATCGCCTACCTGAAAGTTGAACGGGCATCTGTGCCTATTCTCAGATGCAATCATGGCATCCTGATATTCCCGAATTTGTTTGACAGCCTGCTGCAGCATCTTGTCATAATTGACAGCAAACACTATGCTGCCAGGTGCTGCTATTGGCTGATTTTGAGGCAACAGAGTCTAGAGTGGAACGGGGCTTCCAACCAAGATGCAGCTGGTTGGCAGTCATGCCAGTAGTGTTGTGCACAGCATTGTTTTACAGGCTGGCGCTGAGAGAGAACTTCTCATCCCAATCCAGTGCTGGTCCCCAGGTGGACCAGGGACCCCTCCCCCGACCGGAAGCCTCCTGGTTGGACCGGGCGGTCAGTCATCCCGGTCGGCTCCCGGTCGGCCCCAGTGCATTTTGGCTGGAGGCAAACTTTGGGCAAGAAAACGGCCTGGCTTCCTCGCGCGGCCTTGCAGAGGACGCCACCACTGGGGAAAAAATAGAGGGGAGCGGTAGACCCCCTCTACAGATCTTCAAATTTTATACAGGCCGGGAGCTACTCCCACAAAGGAGTTCTAGTATCGTGTAGTCCAATGGACCATGGACCAGATGATACTGGCCAGCCCACATACTCGACCAGTCTCTACCATGCGAAATACTTTCAGACTGATGAACGACCCTATATTGAAAAAAGCATAGGGAAAGCACTCTGACAGTCTCACTACACGAGCTGAAACCTGAACCCATAACTTTCTTGTAGAGAGTCGCGCTCTGGAAAAAGCGTACAAAGTTTGGGAAAGCATTGCTGAAAACATGTTGTATTCAGCCTTTCGGGTATCAATTTTATATGTATGATTTTGTGGTCCATAAGACCACACGGTTCTGAATTAAAATGTATGGGCCATGGAGGGGTCGAACAAGTGAGCTTGTTTACTCGAGTCCTACAATGTTACCTCTGCATTGAATTACTGCAGAGTGTGGCGCAGCCCTGCCCCGTCCAAAGGGCAGCTACCCAAAACCCCACCTCCCTTGCCTCCCCTCCCCTCCTCCACCCCAGTTCCCCCCAAAAAAATTCTTAATTCAAACCTTTTTATTATGGATTCTGACTGGTCTCGACGAGCAAAGTCGGGCACAACCAGAATTCCGGTTGGGTCAACCTCAACCGATCCGGCTCGGTCAGGTCCAGGTTGAGGCCGGTCATTGGCCCAGAGCTGTCCCAGTCATCCTGGCTTGGCTTAATGTAGTGCCGCTGCAAATGCTGCACCACACAGTTCATCTGCTCCGCTTGGCCATTTGACTCAGGATGGTTTCGTGACGTCATCTGCAGTTGGGTGCCCATCTGCTTTGCTGCATTCTGCCACATTTCACTCGTGAAACTGATGACTCGATCACTCTGACAATATACTTCAGAAGTCCAAAACCACGCACTCAGTTGTCCATAAACAACTTGATGACCTAGTCAGTCTTCGCGGCCTTTAGCATAGCAATCAGTCTAGCGTACTTACTAAATCTGTCCACAATGACAAACATGTGCCGATTGCCATTCTTACTGGTCATGTGGGTATCCACAAATGGACATGCCATGCCCAGCCCCTGCTGGGATAGGCAAGGGCTTGATAAACCCAGGTGTGTGTTCGTCCTTGGTTTGTGACGTTCACAAACCTGGCATGTTTCTACATACCTCCTGTCAGCCACCGAGAGCGTTGTACTAAACTTGCTCAAGTCTTCTTGAATCCGAAGTGTCCGGTTGCATTGTGACACTCTCCTACGAACAAAATCCGCAGAGATTCACTAGACAGGACACAAAGTCATCTATTCCTGGCCTTCTCAAGGAACACCAAGCCTTCAACAGCGCAAACTCGTCAGATGTGGCCTTGTCTTTGGCGTCAAGCTCGCACATAATTTCAAACATTGCTGGGTATGATCAGTAGGCTTCCACCATAGATTGAGATACATCATTGGCCAGTCCAAACTCAGTCACTAACCCACCCACGCAATCTGCCCTTGTTAAACTCTCCCTTCAGGTATTGAAGTTTGAAGCCATATTGATCAATGACCTCAATCCACCTCTTCAGAGCGTCAGAAAGAGTAGGTTTCATTTTGATCCAGTGAAGAGTCTCCTAGTCAGCTCTTACGAGAAAGAATCTGCCAAGGAGGTAGTGCCTCCAAAGAACAACGCCTTCTAGAGGGCATAGAGATCTCACTCGTAAGTGGACTTAGCTAGTTTCTGAGACGACATCTTTTTGCTCATGTACTCGACCCGCCTCAACTTGTTCCCCTCCTGCTGTGCAAGGACCGTGCCAATGCCATATTGGCTGACGTTTGTGGTCACAAGGAATGGCTTCTCAAGATCAGGAAACTTCAAGACCTCATAATGCATGAGAACATACTCGATAACCTCCTGCCCACGCCTTGTGAGCATATACCTCACGTACGTTGGCACTGTCCTCAACCATGCGTTAAGGTTCGGGAGCTGCCAACAGTATCTTGGGAACCCATTGTGGCTGTGGTCCAAGCCCCTGCACCTGCTGAACCCGTGCCTGTACCGGCTGAACAGGTGGCTGAACCTGCTGCGGGGACTGCTGCACCTGCTGTGGGGGTCGCCGAACCTGTTGCACAGGTTGCTGGATTTGCTGCT